ATTTCTGGCCATTATGAGTCAAGTTGCTATAAACATTAATGTACAGGTTTCTGTGTCAACGTATGTTTTCACTTCTCTGGGTCAAATGCTGCAAGTCTAATTGCTGGGTAGAATGCTAAGCACGTTTTTAATTTTGTAAGAAGTTGCCGTACCTTTCCCCTGAGTGGCTTATACCTTTTTTCTTTCCTACCACCAATGTACGAGTGGTCTGGTATCTCTGCATCCTCACCAGCATTTGGTGTTATCACTATTTTTTTTTTAATTTTTAGACATTCGAATAATCGTAGTGATATCTCACTGTGATTTTAATTTGCCTTTTCGGATGGCTAATGATGTTGAAAATATTTTCATACACTGATTTGCCAGCTTTATGTCCTGTTCAGTGCAATGTCTGTTCATGTCTTTTGGCCATTTTGTAATTGGATTGTTTTCACTCTTGAGTTTTGAGAGTTCTTTAATGTATTCTAGAATGTCCCTTGTTAGAAGTAGTTGGCAAATATTTTCTCCCAGTGTTTTTGTCCTTTCCATAGGGTCTTTTTTCAGAGCAAAAGGTTTTCATTTTGAATGATTCAACTTATCTCTTTTTTCTTTCTTTTATGGATTCTGCGTTTGGTGTCTTCCCACAGCCCCAGGATCTGAAGAATGTCTCCTATTATTTTTTTTCCCCTAAAAGTTTTATAGTGCTACATTTTTACATATAATCCTTAATCCATTTTGAATTAACTTTTTGTATAGTTCGTGAAGTTTAGATCAAAGTTCATTTGCCTGTGAATGTCAGTAATTTCTAAGGGATCCTGGAACCAAAGATTTGAAAACTACAATGAGGTGTATGAGGGGTACCCCAAGATAGGTGTGTGCAAAGTGCCATGGGAAGGTTGACTTTGAGCAAGGCAGTCCTAGAAGACTTCCCAGAGGAGGTGACATTTGAGTTCTGCTTTGGAGAATGATCAGAATTTTACCAAGCAGAAGAGAAATCTTGTTTACTTTTCTCAGTTTTTCATGGCCGGTGATATTCTCAGTGAGGCGGTTCATTTTGAAAGAGGGAAGTGTGGGAAATAGAGAGAAGGACCTAGGACTCAGGCAGACCTTGGTTGAAATTCTTCTTAAATAGCTAAGTTACTTACCTTTTTAAAGCCTCAGTTTTCCAATCTGTAAAATGGGGGAAATAATTTTTTCTTTTCGAGGAAACTGAGGATTAAATGAGAAAACTATGCAGACTGGCAGGCATGGTAGCTGACACATGGTAGGCACTCAAAGAATGACCTTCTCTCCCCTTTCATGGTTTCCTTGACCTTTTCGCCATGTTACGGAGTTAGACCCACCCTTCGATGTTCAGCCTTTATTTGATTTCATTCTTTCCCCCCACACTGCTCTAGATGAGTGATTCTTGATGTATCAACCACCACAAAACAGATACTCAATATTTAGTTGTGGAGGGCTTTTTGAAATACAGAGTGCAGAACTTTTGATTTAGTGGGTCTGGTTTAAGACCCAGAATGTGTGTTTCTAACAAATTTCCAGGGGGATGCTGACGCGTCTGGTCTGCAGACCACACTGAGAACCACTCACTGCTCTCGCTGTTTCCAATAACTGTCTCAATAGACTGTATGGAAGTCAAGATATTCACTTTCCACATGTCATAGATTCTCAAGGAAATGGCTGTGTTTGTGTTTCAAAATTCACAGAAAACCCCAATGGGAAGACTTCTGGTTTTAAGATGGCTGGGTTTTGTTTTGTTTTTAATTGCAGTAAAAAAACACATACCATGAAATTGACCTTCGTAACCACTTTTAAGTGTATGGTTTCGTGGTGGTAAGGGTACTCGAGGATGGCTGAGTTTGTTTCTATCTTGTTCTCTTCCCATTAAATCCGCTCCAAACAATAAGGAGAACATGCAACGCCCTCTCCATCTTCGGTGAAACCCTGAAACAATAAATGAAGACAGGAACTGGGCTGGGAATGACAATTGGGCAGAGTGGAGGAGGGCCAACTCTCCTGACTAAGGAGGCGCATATATTGAGGAACAGCCCAGTCACCCCGGAATCCCAGAAGGCTGAGGAATGGGCAGAACCAGGCATTTCAGGAGGTGGCGGTAAAGCAGGCTCCCAAACAGCAGGATTGACTGAGGTCCTTGTCATGGCGAATTTCGCCATGTAGTCAGGCACTTCTCTCCTCAGAGGACACCAAGGGGTTAATCTCTGGAGAATTTGAACCAGAGAGCCTCCAGATTTAGCAATCACAGTCCCAGCACAGGGGGGAGGTGGGGGTGTGGTGGGGGCTGAACTAGACTCTAAAAAGCTGCCCCCTAAATGATGACAACCCAGGCTATTCCCAGCAGAATCCAGAATATCTACATGTAGGCTCATTAAGCAGTGTTCTCCCACCCCCAGCAGTGGACTGGAGCTTCATGTTATGAAGAAACCCAATAGCCCCAGAGAAAAGGCCTGCAGTCATGACATCTGGGGCTTTGTGTGAAGTCAGGTGCAGTACAGTGAAACCCATCGGTCGTCAATCCCATTCCGGCTGGCAAAGCTCACAGTCAGCTTGTACCCGTGGAGTTCATTCCTAATCTACTTTCCAGGCTCGTCTGAAAGAGGTTTTCCAGAAAAATCCTGACCCACCAACCTCCGTCTGGGTTGGGTGACTCCTTGGCACCTCCCCAGACCTGTGCACACCCCCCTCGTCTCCTTCAGAGGGTTGTGTCTGCTGCCTCCGTATGCAAAAGCCCCTCTCCTCCCAACGGCCTGGCTGGAGAGCCCGGTGATCATTTGTGGCAGCACCTGCTTGCCCAGTCTCGGGATAAAGTGCTTGTTAATGGGGCTGAGAGCTGGGCTGGTAGGTAGTTGGGAGTAAATCAGCTTAGGCCTTTGAATTATACTTCAAAGCTCAGCAGAAGGCAGAGCGAGCTGTCTGAAAAAAGAAAAAGGGGAAGACAGGGCAATTACTAAAACTCTTTTTGGCTCTGTTTTTAGGTTACCCAGTAGGGCTGAGCTTATTGATCGAGGCCCTTCGGAATACTTTGAACTTGAACTTGGTCAAGGGAATTGGAGGTCAAGGCAACACCCTGACTCTTTGATTCATGCTGGCATCTGTCAGGAGAAGGGTGTGAGGTGTGTAAGTCAGTTCAGCCCTAATCTACATGCTAAGTGGAATACACATTATTATTTGAGGAACCCCTTTGCTTTCTTTGGAGAATTCTTCATTTTGTGTCTTCATGGGAGGAAAAGACCACTTCATTTCTGTTAACGGGTTGTAAGCTCTAACATTTAAAAAGAAATTCTTAGGATTTCCATCTTTCTTCTTATATTACCTCTCTGTTTATGCATATTGTTTACTTTTCTCATCAGAGCTCTTAGCATATTAATCATAGTTATTTTAAATTTTCAATCTGATAATTCCAACATCCCTGCTATATCAGAGTTAGTTCTGATATTTTCTCTGTCTCTTCAAGCTGTGTTGGCCTTTTAGTATGCCTTGTATTTTTTTGTTGTTGAAAACCATACTGCATAAAAGGAACTCCAGTCTGGCCAGTGTGGCTCAGTGGTTGAGTGTCAGTCCATAAACCAGGAGGTCACAGTTCGATTCCCAGTCAGGGCACATGCCCGGGTTTCGGGCTCGATCCCCAGTAGGGAGCATGCAGAGGGCAGCCTATCGATGATTCTCTCTCATCGTTGATGTTTCTCTCTCTCTCTCTCTCTCTCTCTCTCTCTCTCTCTTTCTTTCTCTCTCTGAAATTAAAAAAGAAAAGGAACGCTGGTAAATGGGCCTGTAGTGCTGCAATGGTAAGGTGTAGGGGGAGGGGAAGCGTTCTGTCCTCTGATTAAGTCTGTCTTTCAGTGACCCTGTGTCCTCTGGGCCGTGAACGTCACAGCGCCTCTCAGTTTTCCCTCCCTTGGAGGGACAGGGTGGCTATCCAGGGCTGGAGGTGGGTGTGTACTTCCTTCCCCCCTCCCCCACCCCCCGGGTTAGCTGGGCTCTGATACAGCCCCATTAGGTAAATAGTTCCTCCTGAGGGCAGGACAGAGTGCTTTGGTGTATTTCAATGTAGAGTGTATTTCCTCTCCCCCTACCAGAAGCATGAAAAGATTTTTTTCCCATTTTCAATGAAATTCCAATATTTATTGTGAGAACCTGGTTAAACTCCTGGAGGTAAAACTCACAAAAGTGCGGGGGCTTCCGGTGTCCCCGTCCCCCTAGAGCTTTTATCGGTTGGTCTTATTTGCACAGAGCCTCCAGGAATCCAACAGTTACAGCGCAGGCTTTCCTACCCTGGCTCTGGTTCCGGCGGAGGTTTCCGCTGCAGGACGTTGTGAATCTCTATATCCACCTGTCAGTCTCTTTGATTTTGGAGGCAGCAGCTTGCCCCATGGCCTCACTCCTACAGATCTAAGAAGAGTTGTTGATTTTTCAGTTGACTCAGCTTCTTACTTGTTAGGACAGAGTGACAACTTCCAAGTTGAACTATAGTCCTGTAAAATATACGTAACATAGATTTATCATTTTAACCATTCCTGAGTGTTCAATTCAGACATTAAATACATTCACATTGTTGTGCGACCATCACCCCCATCCATCTTCAGAACTTCCTCATCACCCCAAACTGAAACTCTGTACCCATTAAACAATAACCCCCCCTTATGTACATGCTAACGTTTATATTACTGATTGTTGATGCTGTCATTATTATTATTATGTAGTGAACAGCATTAATTGTTCTATTAGGACATTGGGCATCATTCTCAAGGACATGCATGGGATGGGGCACCATGACATACTTTTAAGAAAGGGGCTGGTGGAATCAACAGGTGTGTTTAGGGAGGGTCCCTGATGGGGAAAAACTGGGGGCTGAGTGCGGTGTTGATGTTCATTCAAGTCAGAGCCACGCAAGCTGCCCAGAAAATCCGCTCTAAATGGGCACATTTATCAGGGTAAATGTCCTGCATCCACATTGACTTCGTTTCACTGGTTTTGTTTTATTGTTTCATTCTGCCCAGGAACCTTGGAGCTCTCAGAGATGAATGGGAAGATTCCATGTGCTAATCTCATTTCCAAATGTAATTGGCACCTGAATTACGAAGCTCTGCTTCCAAAGGCTGCACTCACAGAGCCATCCATCCTCTCTCCATCGAGGTGGGCCAGCGTGCCCCTGTGATGCATGTTCACTGCTCCAGCAACGGAGAAGTAGTGGAGCTGGTACAACCTTTTGGAGGGCAACTTGGCAGTAGGTGTCAAAATTTTATATTTGCAGAACCGTCAGCCCCACCATTTCATTTCATGGATTTAATTCCTCTCAAAGAAGTAATGGGACAAGTGGGTAAGGATGTTTGTACAGAGATGTTCGGTGCAGCTTTGTTTATAATTGTGAAAAACTGGAAGCATTTTAACTGTCCAACAATATAGGACAGTTTACATTAAGTATGGCACACTGAAGGGCTTATTTACTGTGTTGCCAGAGACGAGGGAGAGTTGTATGTAAGGAAAAACCTCCACAGTATCCAGGCAGGGCCTGTTTCCCAGTAGAGTGACTGTCAGATTATAATACCCAAACCTGATAGTGTACAGTACATGTGTCTCTCAACAACAATGCTTTTGGGGCAAATGTTTATATTAAATTATATCTATACGCCTAAACTCAATAGGACAGTTCAAACAAAATTACTTGGGGAACAAAGTTTCACATTAGATCCCCAATAAAACTGGTAGGTCAGAGGTACGTGTAGAAGTGTGGAAAAACAGTCGCGTGACCCAGACCGTCTAGTACCAGCCAGGCTGGCTGATGAATGCGGTGGAAGTCACGGGTGACACATCCAGGAGAGCGTTTACAGAAGGAACAGAGCCCATTTTCTTGCCTCCTTTGGCCTTTTCTGCCCCTTCCTGCCTGGAATATTGATGTGTTGCCTGGAGGCGCAGCAAACACCATGCACCTATGAGGCTGCAGAGCCAGAGATGAAAGTCTCTGCTCTCTGGCAGAGAGGAAAGGAGGCAAGAGGAGGCATGCCCAGGACGCCTTGTTACACGAGACATATACGCCTTTCATGGTTACATCTCTTTTCTCGTGTCTTCTGCCATATGCTTCCAAACGCTCTCCTGATACAGCTGTTGCTTTCATTTTCCCTTCTTAAAAGCAAATGATAAAAATATTCCACGTACTAATCAATATAACTGGATGAAACAAATAAAAAGATACAACAAAAAGTCAACTGTGCTAACAAAAGGTTGTGCACCTCGCTGTTGCCAGCAGCAAGAGAGGCCGGTAAGCAAACATTTAACAACCAATTTAACTGCCGATGATGTGAAAGTAATGCTAAGCATCTTACATCGCAACATGATAGTTTTAAAAAAACATACACATACACACAGTTTACCGAGTTTTAGTAAAATTTCAGGAAATTGGTTTAGGGCAGTGGTTCCCAAACTTATTTGGCCTACCGCCCCCTTTCCAGAAAAAATATTACTCAGCCCCTGGAAATTAATTTTTTTTTTATTTTAATAGCAGTTACTCATCGCCCCCAAATGCACCTGTGGCCATCACCGCCCCCCCTGGATCGCTGCAGCGCCCACCGGGGGGGGGCGGTAGCGCCCACTTTGGGATCACTGTTTAGGGTTTGAGCTAATGTGTATATAATATTCCCTATTTAATATAATGGAAATAGGCTTCCTTTTGGCATTTTTGTTAAGAACTTCTTAATGAAAATTTTAGGGCCCACTTAGTGATATTAAGTGGAATATGCCAGGTCTGGGAGGGGATCCTACTGCCCTAAGACCAATCCCTATCTCCGCTGGTCTCCAGGTGCAATTCCACCCTTTCCCTCCCCCAGAGCCCAGGATCCATCCACCTTCGATCCTTGCAGCCCGCCCCGCCCGCCCCTCCCCCCCAACTCGGCCCTGACCACATTTGGCACAGCCCCTGGATCCCTCCTTCCCTTTTCTAGTGTCTCCTCCTTCTGTCCCCCAGCACTCCCAGTCTGTGAAGTGTAGGTACATTTTAGGTTCCCAGCTGGAGCCCCTCAACTGCCTCATCAGTTCTGAGTCCTCCCCCTACAGATGGTCTCCCTCAGCAACCATATGGAGGGCTGGGAGCAAACCAGCAATAAATGTGTGATTGCGATAGAAGTGAAAAACAAAACAACACACACACAAACCCCACTAAGTTGAAAAGCACGTTATAAACACACATGCTGCTGTCCTGTAAGGAGGCCGAAAGGCCTTAAGCATGTTCCTCTTTGAGGGAAACTGTACCAGAATCTCATCAGATTTCCCCTCCTTGCACATAGCAAGCGTTGGGTCATGTGAGCTCTTCTCTTCTCTTCTCTTCTCTTCTCTTCTCTTCTCTTCTCTTCTCTTCTCTTCTCTTCTCTTCTCTTCCCTTCCCTTCCCTTCCCTTCCCTTCCCTTCCCTTCCCTTCCCTCCCCTCCCCTCC